TTATGTGTTAACAGTTCGAATGATCACACTTAAAGGCAGGCTCTAAATCCTGCAGTCATAGTGAGGAGTATAACCAAATAATTCTTCAAATAAAGTGAAGACGACATGCATACATGGATAATGTTACCTCCTTTAAACTGCCTGCAACAAAAATATAACTGTGGGATTTCTCTATGCATGTTTTTATTTACAGTTATATGGCAGCCTTTTTATAACTGTTTGGTGGCTGCTGTAGAGTCGGTAGTCTCTCAACCGAAAGGTCAGGGGTTCGATCCCCAGCTCCTGCAGCTACATGTCCACTGTGTCCTTGGGCAAGACACTTAACCCCAGATTGCTTGCGCTGCTTTGTTGGCAGCGTATGAATGTGTATGAATTGGATTAGTTACTTCTGATGGTCACTTTACACAGCAACCTCTGCCATCAGTGTGTGAATGTGTAGGTGTGACCTGCAGTGTAAACCTTTTTATAACTGTTTGGTGGCTGCTGTAGAGTCGGTAGTCTCTCAACCGAAAGGTCAGGGGTTCGATCCCCAGCTCCTGCAGCTACATGTCCACTGTGTCCTTGGGCAAGACACTTAACCCCAGATTGCTTGCGCTGCTTTGTTGGCAGCGTATGAATGTGTATGAATTGGATTAGTTACTTCTGATGGTCACTTTACACAGCAACCTCTGCCATCAGTGTGTGAATGTGTAGGTGTGACCTGCAGTGTAAAAGTGCTTTGAGTTGTCAGAAGACAAGAAGAGTGCTATACAAGCTCAGGTCTATTTATCATTTCTTATAACTGAAGAAGCAGAGCGGGATCTTCTGGCACAACTTCACCAACTTCCAAGGTGCATGATGAGTGAAAGGCTTGAAAAATGCTCCAGCAACATTTGTAGTATGAAGATCCACTTTATTAACAAATTAGACCGACGCGTTTGGGCTTGTGGCCTTCATCAGGGTCATTCTAATTTTTTAATAAAGTTCATCCCTGATGACCCCGATGAAGGCCACAAGCCGAAACTCGTCGTTTTTGTTAATAAAGTTGATCTTCATACTACAAGTGGAGCATTTTGGCCCATTTACCATAACTGTCAGACGTCTAGTAAATGTGTTATTCCTGCCTCGTCGTATGCTTTGTTTGTGATGTACAGGAGTAGAGAGTAGAGATACAATACTGACTTGCTTTCTCTGATTGTCATCCACGACACTTGTATATCCTCAGGTCAGTTGTCGCAGGTAATTCTGTCTATGTTTATTAAATGCATGGTGGTGACCAGACATTGGATGGTTAAAAATGAAAATGAAGTGAAATCAGTAATGGAAATCTCTATCCCTTCTTCGTGTGTTTACTCTCTGAGCTATGCAGCTGGCTGTGAGCTCCTGCTAGTTTACCCCATGCTGTAAGCTCTCAGCCATAGACTGTATAAAACCTGTCGTAGTCTCAGTGACATCACTCATCGGTTTTTGAAGAGGGGTTATGAAGCCAGAAGACGGCGGTAGCCATGTCAAAAACGCAAACGTAACTTTACTTTCAATCAGTCTAGAACTGAAAGACATAGAGTTTGAGCTGGGGCGGGCCATAAGCCTCCTGGCAAACAGCTAAGCGCCCGCCTGCTAGCCGACTCAGCCACGCCACTAATTATGCAAATTCATGAATAATGAATCAATTCAAAACAGATGAGTTTTAAGTTTTTCATGAGCTATTCAGACTAATGTTGTTTTTTCTAACCTGACTGTAAACATGTTTATTTCTGTATTTGACTTCTGAAGCCAGCCTCAAGCGGACACTCGATGAACTGCAGGTTCAAGACATGGATCTGAGTATAGACACACAAGTCATATGATGTTTTCTTTTAAATACCTACCTCCCAATTCTAAAAATGTTTTGGGACAACAAGTCTTATTTCTCTGATGTGAAATGAGGTTAAGCTAGCCCCTGGCTTTCTGTAACATACTTTTTTTTCTGTTTTGGCTGTGAGGGATCCAACACAAGATTATGAGTTTTGTTTGTTTTTCCTCTCATTTGCAGGATTTAATTCCACAAATTCTGTGCTTTTGTTGTACAATACTTTTCAAATACTTTTTGGCAAATGTATGTTGACATACTTCCATGATGAAGGCTATGATAAGCTCAAATGTGGGGTCTACCACACATTATTAACTTTACCTGTAGCCATGATTATTATAAAGGCTTTTAAACTTTGTGTGTACAGAACAATATCCTATTTTTTTCAGTGTTTCTTTCCACCTTCCCCGAAGAGCCCCTGTTTGCTGTTCAGCTTGATTGAGGACCCACGCAGTGCTCCTAACCATTGATGTTTCGTTAAAGAATGTGTTTGCTTGTAACCTTAGGAGGTTTTGGCAAACCTAAGTCTAAGGGCATGGTAAGATAGATAAGATAAACAGTCATTAACTATTGCAATGCATGGCCATTTTTCATCGTGACATGTTACCCTGACACCGAAAGGTTGAGATTTAAAGGCAGATTTTGAAAATAGCATTCCCTCAGTGCTCCGTCTGCACCCAACCCCTCCCCCCTGGCTCAGAAGCCATGCCCCTCACTTACATGCACAAGCGCCATTGGTCCAGAAGCAGAGCTCAACTCATCGCTTGCATTGTGTAGAAACTATGTTGTCTCAAGTCTCATTCAGGGCTAAGTAAACACTAAACTTTATCAAGTAAAAAAAAGTGACTACTTTTCTATTCACTACGGCTAACGACATATTCACAGTATAAACTCTGTCAGCTGTGACTTTGAGTGTGGGCTTGTGCAAGCATGGGGTAGAGAACAAGCAGGGAGACGGGGAGGAGTGATTGGTTCATCAGATTGGTACCTCGTGGCAGACATTGGTCGAAGTTTTTACAGGCTTACAACTGCTACAGCTGATGGAAATCTTGAAAAGAGTATCTGGAGGAAATGACCAACCCTTCATTTAATAATTCTATACTGCTTTAATCTCATATAAGCAGATTTAGACAGATGTTAGTTACAGAACAGAACAGTCCAATGTTGCCTCAGTATTAGTGTGCATTAACTGCTTGGTATTCCTGTCCTGGGAGAGATGGCACAGCTGAACAGACAAGAGCTCGAAGTCTTGTGTATGAGAGGTGTCATCGCTCTCATTTAAATGTGTAGGAGCTGTCACCTCTCTAACACATACATTCAAAATATGACATTAGAAAACAATTATAAGTTATGAATTGTTTTTGTTTTTTAAATGCATTTTGGTATTCGAGTCGAAATGTTGAGAATAACTTTGAAATGAGTCGAATTTTCAATATCATATTATTGTCCGGTATAGAAAAAGAAGTTAAATTGTTCTGAGAGAAATAATAAACTTCTGACAGGCAGATTATTTTCAGGTAAGCAAAAATATTTCAGATGAGCAGATTTCCCATACAGGGGGCGGCCAGGGCCCCCCTGAAAATCTCACTGGCCACACCTGGTGCATCCTAAAAATTTACATTGATCCCTTAATTCCCTTTTCAGGGGCGGGTCTAGACTTATTTTAAAATCAACTATTTGGGCTGTGTTGCAACAGGCTGCTACTAGTTTATTTGAATTTTGTTGGGGTACATTTCCTTTTGGAAGTATTTTTAATGGTGATTTTTTTTGGAATGGAAGAATGGAATAAAGGAAGAATGTGCAATTTTTTATTCCAGTTGATGTCACCTTTGAACACCAGCATGAAACCAAAACAAACTGCTGTTTGGCGACACCTCCGCTATTCTGAAGCCTCCGCTCTCCTCAAGTGTCACACCTCCGACCCCTCTTGTTCGCACGAAGGAGGAATGAATTGCAACGCAGCATAATTAAGCACCATTAAGCGCAAGTGTTGGACAAAATTGTACTGCAATTCCCTGTGCTGTATTTATGTGTCAAATGTAGCACATTTTTTCTTTCAGAGTCCTTAAGAAGATTATTTTGTTGCCATCCTGTATCATTTTTTTTTTTTAAAAAGCAACAACACAGGAATATACCATCTTTTAGTTTTTTTCATGTGAAGTTAATTAGTTGAGACGGAACACGTAAGTAAATGCTTTTCAATTGAGAGTTTGTGGACACATACTTAATACCAACCTTGCTCAAGTCAGTTCCCCCAGTGTGGCCACCCAGGTCAGAAAAAGTCTGGCTCCACCCCTGGACAAGCATGTGTTTTTTTAGATTTATAATTTTGACTACTCAGTTAAAAAGATGACAGAAATGTTAAATAGAAACTATTTGTGATTTAGCATGTAGCCTATAATTAATGAGATTTTTATGATGGTTCACTTTTTCAATCTATAATAATAGATAAAGGTAATAATGGATATATATATATATATATGTGTGTGTGTGTGTGTGTGTGTGTGTGTGTGTAGTGTGTGTGTATATATATATATATATATATATATATATATATATATATATATATCTATATATATATATATATATATATATATATATATATTATTATTATAAAACTAAACGTGTTTCAAGTGTTCCAGTTAACCAATGAAAGGAGTCCACTTTACAAATAATTCCTGGACAAATTTTGTTTTGGGTCAGTGCTGTTTGAGGAAGAGTTATGTCTCCTGTGTGGAGTTCTCTCTTTGTTCTTCTGTAGAGTATATTAGAGCTTTTTAGCTATTTATAATAGTATCCTATCATATGAGGGGGTTTAGCACATAGCTTTTAATCATAATTAAAACTGCCACATAAGGAACATGTTCAAAAAGTGTCGCACTTTAACTCATATTAACCCTATACTCGACCTATATTTTTTTTCTAAACCGACTTTTCCTCACCTCAAATTAACCTGACGAGTCGTGACTCAGCAATAAACCATGCCTTGAAGTTGTTGAGTCATGCTGTGTGTGTGTGTGTGTGTGTGTGTGTGTGTGTGTGTGTGTGTGTGTGTGTGTGTGTTGTGTTCGCCAGCAGGAAACAGATTGAAGAGGGGCGGGGCCTCGTAAAGCGGACGCCCCGCCCCGCCTTGCCATCACGACAACCTCCCACAGAAATAATTCTTCTCTGGCTCCGGCTGACTTTTCTTTCCCGTCTCTCGGCAGAGCGGAAGGAGCAGAGACGCTGTCTGTCGGTCCACGCTGTTGGTTAGGGACACACACACACACACACACACACAAACCAAGGCGCCTCCGTAACACACATACCTGTCTGTGTGGCATGTGACAGTTTAGCGAGTGGCTTTTTTTTTTTTTAAGTGAAGGAATCGGAAAGCAGGTCGGCAAGAAACGGCACGACCTGTAGAGGGGATAAAGAGCTCTCTGCTGGTTCCCGGTGACCGAGATGGAGAGGCTGTGCGGACCAGAGCGTCCCTTCTGGGTGAGTACGTTTTGTCACACCGGCACTGTATCACCAATGTCCTGTATGTCATGAAGATACAGTAGCTCAATGGTCTTTATGGCGCTACCTGACGAGGTTGTAGTAGCCTACAATGTTATGTCATGAGCCTCTTTTCCCCTCCTTTCCGGGCAGCCTTTCAGAAGTACAGTAACTGCCGTGACTAACTATAAATAACCCACTTAATAGCGTTTGCCGTGTTAACAAGCTCTCATTTAATGTCATGCTGCATTACGTGCTTTCTTTCGTGTGTGCTGCTCCTCGAGGAGGAATATCACAGACCGTGAAACATAGACTCTGAGTATGAATGTGACTGTGGCGTTTATGATACACCTCCGACAGGATAAGGCTCCTAAACTTATCTCAGAGTCAGTATACAGTAGCAGCGTCCCTTGAGTAGTCCTATCTAATGAGGGGGATAGCCTGCTAATGCACAATAATATCCTACTGGGAACTGTCAGCATGGTGATCAAATCCCCTCCAGTAGCATCAGTCATTCAGCCTAATTGTTGGGCAAATGAGATTACATCGAAAATAAAGTTGCATTAATAACATATTTAGGCTCCACAGACATCCTTCTCATCTTACTAAGAACATGGACATTATAGCAGATTGGTTATAGGCCTACTGTAGGCCTATATGCCTAGTAGTAGCCTACCAAAGAAACAAAGGTAATAATCCAATTGGAAATATCACAGAGGCTCTTTATTTCCCCTGAGTATTCCCCAGAGATGGCAGCAGCGACATCTTGTAGACTACCTAGATGATGTCACCCTATTCGTGTTAACTGAGGTCATGCTCAGTTTCTCGTAGAAATTCTAATGTGGGTCAGAGCCATAATTGATACAAATATTGCATCAGGTTTAGCAGTGCTGTTTTGCAATATTGCATTCCTGCAACACGACATGAACTCCAAAGGTCCACATATATGGATGTCTTTTAAGATAAACTTATGCTGCTGGTTTTAAGCAAATGTTGCAAGGTCAGTGATCATGAGATGCTAGTTTGAGCTAAGTGTTAGTGTGGTATATCAGTGTTCTCCACTCTGGAGACAGGCGTTGTAAAACAAATATGACATGTGTATATCCAAACCAAATGATTTTTATCTTGGTCCTTCCTTACTTCATGCCAAAATACTTCTGACAGCGTGTGACCACTTATCACAAGGAATGACAGATGAATAAAGGAAGTAAATAAAACAGGAAACAACTACAAGTTTACGACAAAAATATCAAGTGTTTTGCTTTAATATGAGTTATACTTATTTACTTGTTAATGATAGCCTCGGTCAATAGCCTGAAATCTGCCTACACACATCTTAAAGGTACTTTAACACTGTGCAGTGTTAGGAAATGATTTGTGCGTCATCATCAAAAAGCAAAAAGTTTCAGATAAACATTTTTTATTGAGCACCAAGTTGAGGTCCCGTATTTTGCTTCTCTGCCTTTCAGACATTGGAGTCAACCATATGTATCTATCTGTTTGCCTTGTTGTATGAGGTGGGTCTTTTTAGACATGAGGAGGGTCAAGTATAGTCTTCGATCTCAGAACCTGTCGACAATCCTCGTTGGATTGACGATAAACCTCTGGGAACTGATCCAAATGTCTCTGTTATTCTGGTGAACTCAGCGGTTAGTGTAAATGAGTTCAAAGCAAGACTTACATTTCTTTGCGGCGTTCAGGTACAGAGCTGTGTGTGTGCGCGCGTCTGACTGTGTGTCTTTGTGGAGCCCCCGCTGTCCCGTGTTCTCTTTCACTTCTGCAACGTTGTAAGGCAATGTGACACAGACTAAAACACCAGTATAACGCCATTCGGAAACGATATGAATGTCTTAGGTCCGTGATGACGGCGGAGCTTCATTTCCAAATGTAGCAGATTTGCATTCTGAAAAAAGAGCTTCTGGCTCACTTCAGCGGAATGAGCCCAAAAAGTGAACTGATTTTCCACGATTTACTTGAAATTCGGGGGAAACAAGTTTGCCGAAATAACAGCATCATGTTGCAGATTTGTAAAAATATAAACGTCAGACTTTGACAAGTCTGTCCTCAAGAGGAGAAGAAAAACAACTTTAAAAAGGCTCGTTCGTTGAATGGAGGTCAGATAGATACTGATGATGCATTTAAGGTGGTCAGTAAATGTAAGCGCTGACTGGCTTTCATGACGCAACGTGAAGCAGATTTGCTGCTCAAGTTAACGTGTTGGATCTGTAATTGACGGTTAGCTGCTCTTTTATGCAGATATCTGATTATGGAGATAAATAAATCATCAACAGGGAACCGTTGATGGTATGTCATTAGTGCAGGTCACGTTCTGCCTGTTTCTCCTTTACACTAAAAGCTGCTGAGAGGCAAGTGGTCAGACTTTAAATGTACTACTAACTGAAACCTGAACACTTCCCATGCTGAAAATCCAGATCCAAAACCTTCCAAACACCACTTTGCTATTTAAAAAGGGTTAAGTCTGTGCACCTGATTTTCTTCTGGCTGGAAACCACACTCGGGGGCTGGCGGGTTAGAGAGGTCGTCTGAGGACACTAAACCAGTTGCTGCTGTTTACGTCCACTTCAAACAAACTGGAGGCAGTTGTAATCCCCCAGCCCTCGACAGTGCCCGCTGAGAGCGAGCTAGGTTAAACGCTAAGCCCCAACAAAGGACTTTATTTGCAATTATTTGAAGATCAAATCAGATTTGCCAGACGCAAGTGTGCCCTAGAACACAAACAAGCTGGTACGCAGAAGTCAATTTGCCCTTTGGTGATGAAGAAAAGGCATTTTATGAAGAAGAAGAAAAAAGAAAAAGGTGTCTTGAGTTCATTTAGTAATTCTTTATTCTGGGCTATTAACTTTGATCATTAACAATCGTATCCCTCTCTTCCTCTTCTGAGAACCACTTATTGGCTTCTTGACCTTCAAAGCTGTCCACAAGCTGTTTTCTTGCACACATTCAGAAAATGTCTTGAAAATTTCACAACAGCAGCCTGCCCCTGAGATGTAACCAAAGCTGTTTGCGCATTTGTACTCCAGACAATTTCTGGAGGACTGTCCCAGAAATCCTCCTGATCTCATCGTCCTCCTCTCAGCCGAAGACTGTCCCTGTCAGATGGGAGGAGTGCGGGGGGGGGGGGGTCTTCTGAGGCAAGCTACATAACGTCTTCTACGCGATATATATAATGAGGATATTTGCCACATCATTGTTATTTGCAAAAATATTAACAGAAGAGCGGAAAAGAACATGCTGGGGAACAGAAAACTTAATGCAGCAGGTTAGATATATGCACATAGATCCCACCAATCGCTTTCACACAATCTATTACAATCTACAACAATCTATTTAATATGTCCCTCACAGCCCGAAGTTTTGGCTGACTGTAATTAATCCCAAAAACAGACTAATCTAGCTAATAGACATTAAACTAATAAAGAATGTACAGTACATAAAGTACAACCATATTTTAGCAGATTAACATTACTCAGATTGTGGAAACGAGGCGTAAAGCCCCTGAGGTTTAAACATGCACCCTGATGCACCAAGGTGCAGAATAAGACACAGACACGTTCACCTCTATCTGTGTCATACATATATACACAAGGTGTAGAGGTAGACAGTCTTACATTTAGGATGCATCGACTGTCTGATCCAAAGCCTGCGTTATCAGCAGCTTTATAAACCAACAGTTCAGTCTATCAGCAGCAGCAGCTTGGATTACATCTCTGTATTGAGGCTGAGCACAGGCACGCAGGAGGAGCAGAGTTTACCTCGAATGCCCCGTCTTCACAGACTGGAGGAGACAGAAGGTGTTGTCAGTGGTTCTGTGCTGTATGGGTGGCCCATATTATGCTTTTTCTGGTTTTATATGCCCTTTAGTGTGTTTTCCAAGTGTCCTGTGCATGTTTAGGCACATCTATGTGCAAAAATTCAAAGTCCGTGGAAAGGCAGCTTCTCCTACGTCCTCCTGTTAGCTGTAGCATTAGCCGCATGTAACGCTCAGTTCTAGCCCCCCTCGATAAAAATTTGTCAGTCCGACGTCATTGTCAGTGTGAGATCACTGATCTGAGCCCATTGGCTCGTTGTGGCAAGCCCAGCAGCTCATGTTGCACGCCCGTTAACTTCTGTAGCACGCCCACTATATGCCGTAGCCTGCGGTAGCACAGTAGTGCTAAGGTGCTAATGTTTATGCTCCCCTCGGACGGAGCCAGTGGCTGCATTCCCAATTGGTAAAAGAGGCGGGACATTTCCGAGAAGCGTTCTGAGCAACTGACCAATAACGACAGAGCGGATCGGCAGACCAATCAGAGCAGACTTGGCCCACATGGGGTCTAACAGTGTGGGCTCAACAGAGTGTAGCTGACGGACTCAGAGCGTAGAGGGAGCAAGGAGGAGCAATACATGAAAACAGACACTTTTTTCAGACTTTAGCTATTGTGAACGTACAAAAGTAGATACATAGATTAAATATATGAATCCCAAAAAGGGCATAATATGGGCTCTTCAAGATGCATGGAAACTGAAAAAAAAGAAAAGAGAAGCTGTTTGTAATTGAAGAAGTCAGAGTCATGATGACAAGGGACTGATTTACAAAGTGAAGTGTTGAGATCTACAATAGCTTAAAGGTCAAAGCCTTCACTGTCTGTAGAAGACTGATGGTACGACTGATTATGACGGTATAATGTAATTGGAAACCAGACATTGTGTTTTCCACTGTTTTCCTGAAATGATCTAGCTATTGCCAGGAGTGATGTGAAAACGGCTTTATAGAGGCGATTGTGCACAAATGCAGATCTCACTGTTTTGAATTAAAAAAAATGAAAGGCATATTTTAGTTTGATCTATATGAAATGACACGTTCTCCTAACATAAGTTTGAATACAGAAAAATGCAATGATGATCTATAGCACTTAGTTTATCTGGGCTGTGGGGGACCAGAGCTGTTCCAAGCTGTCATTGGGCAAGAGGCATTGAACCATTCTATCATGATCTGTATG